GAGGGGCGAGGTCCGGCCCACAGCAGGAGGGGGCGGGGCCTCCCTTGCTCTCGGAACGGAACCACCCCCCAAGGCGTCGGGTGGGGAGCGGTCCCCGCCGGAGTGGGATGTGGCGCCTTTTTCTGCACCCCCCCTCGAAATTCCTGCGGAGGGGCGAGCCGGACACCAGCTCCTCCCCCTCCGCGGCGGAGCCCTAGCCTCCCCTCCCCCACCTTGGGCAGCGGTTGGGGGTCTGGGAAAGCTCAGCTTATTCACCTCGAGCGGTGGGGTTTCCGGGAAGGGTCGGAAGCGCCCCCTTCCGTTCATGATGGCCGACGGGGTGGTGCTCTGGACTCCGAGAGTGGGAAAGGGCCCCTAGTTTCAAGGACGCGAGAGGTATTTTGTGCGTTCCCAATCTAAACCAGGTGTGCGATGGCCAGCTAATGCTTGCTCTCAGTTGGAACCCTGAGTAGTGGTTCTCGAAGTTTGGATCCCCGGGGGCAGACACCTGGGGAGGTTGTTAAAAATGTTTGTCCCAGGGCTCTACTTAACGCCTGCTGAAGGTCGGAGATTCTGGGATAGATAAGAGTCTGGGAAACAGTATTTAAACCGGCTTCCTAGGTAGCTCTAATGCAGGTGGCCCAGAGACTACAAGAGAAGCGCAACTTCACAGGCTAGACTTGGAGGTAGGCGCTGAGAACTGAGTACACTTTGCAAAGAATGTTTGTTGGACAAAGACAAAGTGTCTCTGTTTGGAGGTACAGTTCACTAAGGGTCTAGCGAAAAGGGAGAGTAATTCGAGTGCTAGAGCTGCCGGTGGAGGGATGCTGTGAATTTTCTATTCTCAAAGCATCAAAGGATTCGTAAGTGAGGAATGGTCTTACAAAGTTGCTGATGACACTAGTAACAGGTTTTACTTCTCTCAGAAATGTTGTCTCAACTGTCACAGAGCATGATTCTGGTGTAGATAGCGTGCATGTCTATTGATACCCTGTAGTTTATACGTAATTGCTATAATTCACTTTTAATGATGAGTAAAGCTCAGCCTTCTAATTTTTCCTCTTACGGGGAAGTGAGTTTTCTGCCTCAAAGTGGTGTGCAAAAAAAAAAAAAAATGGATGTTGATAGAAATCTAGAGTACACCTATTTCTTTTTTTGGAGCCTGTAAAGCTCCGTTACTGATTGACAAAAACAGAAGTTGTTTGAGCTACAGGAGAATTTTCACTGCTTTTCCTGGTAATCTTTGGTCATATATTGCATTGGAAACAAATAGTAATTGGTGAAGTTTTGTCCTTCAGTTTAAATCTCGTATTATGTACTGACAGAATTCTGCAATCTACTTGACTCCAACTTCTGTTGGCTCTTACTAGTTTAAATACTAGGAATTCGGCGTCCACTCTTCTTTAAAGCCTTTTTAAGTTCCTAAATTTGCTGTAATCTGAACTTAAGTGTTTAGTTGTTACTTCTGTTTTAGTATTGCTTCACCTTCAAGCCAGATTGTTCAGATGACTTGTTTCTATTCTTCTTTTGTTTCTTCATTAAAAATAACGTGAATAGGAGTTACTTTTTGGTGCAGTTTATATTTGAAAGAAGACTTGTGGGAATGTGTGTAAAGTTTTTTCCATTATTTTTCTCCCCGCCCCCCAAGTGGTGGTGGTGAAGGATGTGGGGATTACACCCAGGGTCTTTCCCGTGCTAGGCAAGCACTCCATATTGTGCTAATTTTAATGATGGGCCCCCCCTTTCCTGGGCCAATTTTTCGTATCTTTTATGTGTTTTTTGTTTTGTTTTTTTTAGACTTGTCTGACCCTTTGGATGGTGCTGATTGATATGCGAGGGAACTTTACTTTTCCCAGCTGGGGTGTAGTAGTGTATACTTGTAATCCCAGCCCTCTGGGAAGCTCAGGCAGAAATGTCAAGATTCAAGTTTGGCCTAGAATAGCAAAGTACCCTCCTCATACCCCCCCCATACCCTCCTCTTGGTTGGTTTGTTTGTTTCTGTTACTGAGGATTGAACTCAGGACCTTGTGCTTGCCCTGTTCTGTTTCTGTTTTTTAAGATGCTGTCTCAGTAAGAGCTGTGGAGTTTATGAAAGTTCACACTGGACATAGAGAGGTTACACTGACTAGGAGTGAGCTGAAATGGTAGGGCAGTTAATTAGACCCCCTGAACACTGTTACAATACTCTTTGGGAAGGTAAATTTGGAGTACCTGCAATGGCAGTCATACCCACTCGCTGGGTAGGAGTTTCAGATTGCTCCTGATTTTTCTGTGATGACTACTTGATACTGTAACTCTTCAAAACTGTGTTGGCAGAGGAAAGGATTTTTGGAAAAGTTCAGTAGAGTGGTATATATCCCAGGGAATTGGTTTTTTCGAATGTTAATGATATTGAGAAGTAGATAATCTTTTTTGAAAAGTCTTATAGTACAAATGTCTAATGTCTTTTCTGAACATAAGTGGATTTTAGGTAAGTAGTTGGAGTATAAGTCTTCTTGCTTGTTAGAAACAATTTGGGAGGAATAGCTGAGGGAATTTCTCCTTATTGTACTAACCTTAAATGAATTCTCCATGACTTTGAGAAACTTCATTGCATGCTTTATCTTTTTCACTTTCATTCATGACTGACCATCCTTATATCAAACATTTTTTTCTTTGAAATAGAAGAGATACTTTTTTCTGTCTTGTACAGTCCAAAAAGGATCAGAATAAAATACTGCTGAATTGTTCTTATACCAAAAGCTGGAGGCATACACAGTTTTAATAAAAGTGAATATTTTGTATCTTTTGATGTAACTTTCCTTTAGAGGTTTTGTTTCCTCTGTCTTAGATTCTCAGGGCTTCTTGAGTGCTCTTTAAATAATTGGTAGCCAAATTTTCAATCATGCTTAAGTTATTCTATGAAAATTTGCTAGTCACCTCACAGTATCAAAGGAGTGATATCTTGTGGTGGTGAGCATTAGTACCTTGTGCTAGTGTTTATTGTAGGCTTGCTCAAGTCAACACTACCTATTGTGGCACTTACTTTCTTGGTGTACAAAGACAGGGTTTTCTCCTGGGTGCTTTTGGCCTTCTGCGGATGGGGAAGAATCCATAATTGCAGGCATAGTTAGTATCTCATAGATGTATAAATGGTAAGCTGATGTCCTTGTTTCTGCCCACCATCCAGGCACAATTATGATCACTTTCTCCTCTCTCAAATGTCTTGGTTTGGAAGATAATCAGATGTACTGTGGGACAGACAGTGGAGGCACTGAAAAGAGACATTTAACTGTCACTAACAGAGATTAGGGAATTCTTCCTGGAGGAAGATTTTTTTTTTTCCCCTGCAATCTTTGACTTCCGTTAGTGCTGAGTCCTTAAGGTCTTCCTTAGATAGAGTGCCTTCAATGGCAGTCCTGTTAGACTTACTGCTTTTTACATTTTACTGGTGACAGAGCATAGTTGTTTGTTACCATTGTTATGACTGCAAGATGTTAGCTTGGAGTTGCCTCAGCAGCTGCAGCAGGTAGAGAAAGTACAGACAGCGACAGACTTTTCCTCACTTAGAAGACTAACATTTCTAAAACAACTTCTGAGTTGCTCATTAATTTGCAGTGAAGTAGTTATAGATGATGCTAACACAAAGTGGACATTGTGTTTCTCATTTCACTTACACTAGTCACATGGAATCATGAGATCATGTGGCAAAATGTGGCAGTTAAAACAATTTCACAACAGTGGCAAAAGAGTACCATTTAAAAATACAGGTACTAATCAAACTTCCTTGGGAAAGAAAATCTCAATGAAATTCTGTCTTATAACTTACTGTGCAACAGTATATATTCTATAATTTAACAGTATCAACAGTGTCAAATTCAGTAGTCAACAGAGTTGTAAATTCTTACATATCATATAACACGTATGTGCCCTTGTGTCCTTAGAATTGAGAATTAGTTTTCTTGAAGGCATTTTCAGTATACTGGGTATAGGTGTAAATTTGCTTTCTAAAGTAATTTTTTCTTTTTTTGTTTTGCCATGGTGGGGATCGAACCCAGGGCTTCATGCATACTAGGCCAGTACTCTGAAGTAACTTTACCTGAAAAAACTGAACTGTCACTAACTACTTGAAAGCAAAACTGTAGCCCATAGTATAGATTTATGGATATAAATGGACATTGAAATCAGGATATTTGTGTTTCTTCAGGTATTAGAAAACTACTCAGATGCTCCAATGACACCAAAACAGATTCTACAGGTCATAGAGGCAGAAGGACTAAAGGAAATGAGGTTTGTATTGCTCCTGCTGCTTATCACGAGAGTTTCATAGGACGTATGAGTTTTAGTTATTTAGTGATCTGAGTCCACCTGTTTGTATATATTTTGTGTATTTGGTGGTGGTCTTGAACTACCCATGATCCTTGGGTTGTATGGAGAGTGGGAGTGGGCAAACATCCATTTCTTTTCAGAGATCTTGACATAGAGCTTTTTTGTATAAGGAGTCATGACACATGTTTTTCTTGTCTGTTTTGCAAGTTTCAGTAATAGAGAGGGGACCGGCGGCCCAGGTAGACCCTGCTGTGTTTAAATTACCCTTCTCTCTATGCCATACTATCTGTGATCTTTCATGTAGAATCCAAGAAGGGTGATATCATCATTTTTATTTATTTTTTTATTTTTTATTTTTTTTTTGTTCTGGGTATCAAACTCGGGACCTTGTGCTTGTGAGGCAGGAGATGGAACCACTGAGCTAAATCCCCGGTCTTCTTTTCCTACTGATTCTGGCCATTCATGATGTGAATTTGCTGTTTTGCGGTGACCTTTATTTTCTTATGGTGTAGTTTTCCCAGATAAGCAATAAGTTAGAAACACAGAAGGAATTGTAGGCATGAAAACCAGTGACCCTAATCCTTTTTCTCCTCAACCTCATCTCAACATATTTTTTTTTTTTTTTTTTAAATTTAAAGGAAGAAGGAAGAAAACACAACACAACCTCCTTGGGACTCATAGTAAACAGCATATGTTTTTGCTGGTCAAGTGATAACTGCTTGAATTGACCTTTGTAGGGTCAGAAGGTCCCCATTGCCAGTTGTCACATCAAATATTCTTTTTGGTACTGGGGATCGAACTCAGGACTTTGTGCTTGCAAGGCAGAGCTTGGAACCACTGAGCTAAATCCCCGGCCCACACATCAGATATTATTGAGTTGATGTTTTGTGGAAAGAGGATTAGGATTGCCTAGATCAGTTATTCACCTTGTATACCTGTGCACTATGTACCGTTATAACTGTATTTTATTTTTGTTTTTATGGGCTATTTCTCATCATGCTGCTGTCTGCACGGCTGCTGGACCACTATTCCTTAGAAGGTAAATTAGTCCCTTTGGAACAGATGGAATCAAGAACCTCACCTTGTTTCTGCTTCTTGCTCTTGTAGGGATTATGAAGCAGTCTTAGTGGCCATGATGAGTGAGCAGCTCTGTCGGTTTTAAGACAGAGGGATAGTGTGTAGGAGTCACAGGAGTCTGCCAGCATGCTGTTCCTCCTTGTAGCAGAGATGCTAGCACACCCACTTGATGCTCCAGATTTTGCACCAGGGTTCTTTTAGAGATCAGTTCTTGGTGAATTTTTTTTTTAAAGAAAGCATCCAGTGTATTCTAAAGCATAATAATAAGGTTTTTAAGTGACTTTTTTAATACTCAGAATTTATTTTTAACACTATGAATTCAGACCTCTAGTTTTGAAAAATACTAGGACGCTTTGATTAAGAAGACATTTGTTTATGTATTTTTAACATATTGGGGAATTGGGGAAGAGTAGAGATTTACACAGGTAAATCCTAGCACTAATATGCTAATGGCCAACTTAGTTAATACTGATGGACATTCATCTCCATTTTCGACAGCTTTTCTGTTTTAAGACTCAGCCTCTCACTACATTGTCATTATTTTGTGACCTGCTGTTGTGTCAGGGACTATGAAATAATTTAATATAGTATCTTTTTAGTTTAATGTTTAAGCATTACTGGGTGTTAATCTGTGTGACTGACTTTTCTTTTTGCATTCAAATTTAAGTGATTGTTCCTGGATAGATGTAGAATAAAACAGCCGCCTTTCATTCCAACAGAGAAAAAACAAACGAAGTTGTTTCTTTTGTGTGCTTATTAGAAAATATTTAACTGTATAAATAAAGATTTTTTTTTTTTAAATTGGGATGTTGTCATTGATTCTGTGGCCTTTGTGCTGATAATGGTACATGGCAGTTTGTTACTGATATATAGGCTGAAATGTTTTTTTTTTGTTTGTTTGTTTATTGTGTTGGTTTTTTTGTTTGTTTTTTTTTGTTTTTTTGTTTTTTTTTGGTTTTGGGTTTTTTTTTCTTAGATGTTTTAATAGTAAAATTTTACTTAAATGTAAGCTTTTAAATTTTACTAAAATATAACTTGAAAAATTGTCTGGTTTTTCTAAATTTCTATGGAATTTGGTTAGCAAGTGTTAGGTGTAGATTTCAGGTATCACATCACATATTTTACTCCAGCCATCTTAGTATGATTTATGTGAATTTTAGTTGGTTACTCATTTACTACTTTCACAGTACAACTGTTGTCATGGGATTTTTTTCTTCAAAATTTCTTGTTCCATTTCTTGATTTTAAAAAAATGTGGGAAAGATTAAGTCTTTGGTACGTGGTATAAGGATTTGTATGACTGTTGTTCAACCTTTGTGTTTTATAGTGGGACATCCCCTCTAGCGTGCCTCAATGCCATGCTACATTCCAACTCAAGAGGAGGAGAAGGGCTGTTTTATAAATTACCTGGTCGAATCAGCCTTTTTACACTCAAGGTAAGTAATATACACTCTATTTTAGTGCATTGATTTTCAAGCTTTTAGTGTTCTTAAAAGTGACCTGATAGTCGGGTGGTAACATTCCCCTGTAATTCCAGCACTTGGGAGGCTGAGGCAGGATTACCAAGCGTTTGAGGCCAACCTGGGGCTACATTAGTGAGTTCAAGGCCATCCTGAACTACAAACAAGACCCCGTCTCAAAAAGTCACCTTAGTAGGTCCAGAATGGTGTCCATGAATTTGTTTTTCTAATAAGCAGTTGTGTGGCACTGATGTTGGTCCTAGGTGATGCTCTAGGGATTAGAGTGCTAAGAATTAGGAAGTCCTGTCAGTTACTGTTTCTGTGCCGCACTTCTTATCTATATCTTTGTAGATTATATTTGGTTGAAAAGCTTGTGTGGGAATGATTACAAATGTGCCTTAATTAAGATTTATGTTGGGGCTGGGGATTTAGCTCAGCGGTTCCGTGGCCAGCCCTGCAAGCGCAAGGACCGCAGTTCAATCCCCGGTACCAAAAAAAAAAAAAAAGATTTATGTGTAATAATTTTGTGAGGAATAAACTATTGGGTAGCTATATATAATACCTACTGTGTGGAAAATACAGTGGCACCTTGGCTCACAAACTTAATTTATGATTTTGGGGAAGATGGCTACATTTGTGTTTGTGTAGGGAAGATGGCTGTGGTTGTGTTTGACAACCTATATGGAGTTTGTGAATGGAAACAAAATTTTTGTTGAACACTTTGGTTTGATAACCAAATTGTTTGAGAACAGAAGCGTTTGTGAACCCAGGTATTACTATAACTATGAACATCAGTATTAAGTGTCACTAATTACAGAGGAAAAAGAAAAGTTCATAATAAAACTTGAATAGGGCTGAAATGAACAAACTATTTTTTTAACCATTTCTGATATGAATGGTTATCATTTGGATCATAAGTCTGTGTACTTTTTCTGTAAAGGGCTAGAAAATATTTTGGTTTATTTATGGCTATAATGTTTATATCCTAAGTATTACCTCTGTCCTTATAGCAGGAAAGCGGACCTTAGATAAACAAATAGATGAAGCTGTGTGTCAATCCGAAAACAAGTATTTATTTTATTGACAGGTAATCTGTTTTGTTTACAGAAATAGGTGATGGATTATATTTGACTTGGGATTTAGTTTGCTGACCCTTGATGTTGACATAAGATGACTTGCTGACTGTAGAGTAATTGAAAATTTGATGCTGATTCTTACACTCCTCTGTATTTGTAAATTGCAGTAGTCATATAAACTTTTTCCTTTCAGTTTTGTTTTCTTGATAGACTGTTAATTCAGAATTAAGTAAATAACTTGAATAAATGCCACCTATATAAACTGTAGTCATAAAAATTGGTCCATATATTTGTTGGTACGTTGAGATGGGTTTTTGTTATGTTGTCCAGGCTGGTCTCAAACTCCTGGATGCAGGGACTCCTTCCACCTTAGCTTCCTGAGTAGCTGGGACTGTAGATGCATGCTTTTCTTGTAATCCGGTTTGGAAGGAGATGCTCCTCTGAGTTCACACTCTA